GATGACTGGTTGCATTTATGCAACTTATAGTAGTAAAGGTCTCTTTTTTCCACTTGTTTAACTCAAAACTCGAATGCATTTTGAGGCTTTCCTTGCAACAACACATATTGGTTTATGCTCTAGCTACATCCCTGCTTCATCCATGTTCTATATACACTTTGGTTTTTCCAATAAATATTTGCTTTGCATCAGATCATTCAAAGTTGTAAAACATTTTGAAATTTTTTTCTTACCCACGCACATGTTGCACTGAAGCTGTATGTTCTAAATGCAACATTTAAATTTCCATTTAAATATAATTAAGTAAATTCTAGCAAATTCAAAACAATCCTTATTAAACTTTTCTTACAAATGATTACTAAGTTAGATAACTAAATTGGCTAAGTGTTAGAAAATCTTGTTTTAAAACTTTTAGTTAAATATTTTTATTGCAACTGTTAGCCATTTACTGGCCATAGATAGTAAATGGATTATACAACCGGCAAGTAAAAGGTATAAATGATATATGATGAAAAAGTGCAATTTTAGATCAGCTGAAATATTATTTATGAAGCATTAGTTACGCCTCACTATTACTAAATACTTCGTTTTTAAAGCATATAAAATAGATTAAACATTTTATTTTTGCCCCAAAAAACTGTCATAAACATTTGCTACGCATACAAAAAATAGTCTAAAGTTAGAATTAACGTAAACAAAGCATAAATTTTTACTTTAATTTAGATGCTTTTCACAAATTGTCTTACTGATTAAAACTTTTTAGAACTTTGACAAAATTGCATTATTTATACAGTATTTATGTGGACATTTAGTTTAAATATTAACGTAGGCCACTGCTCTTTGTGGGTAAAAGTTTAAAAAAGTAGCCAGTAAAGGGTTAAAGACCAGCGATTGGCAAAATCAGCCTAACTCAAAGTAGTAATTAGTAAATCAGTAAAATTACCCTTAAAGTAACTAGTAAAACAACAATTATTATTATTATTAATTAATGCTGTTGAGATAAAGCGCCAGGCAATATCTATATATTATACCGACAGCCGGTATAAATTAATTAATGAACAAGTTAGTTCAGTCACTAAATAATAAAAACGTTAATAATAAGCTTTCTTGGTTTTTATTTTGTTTGTTATTGCAAAGTCGACCGATTGCAAGTTTATTTATTGCAATTTTATTATTGCAATTATTGTAATTTATTATTGCAATTTTAAAAGTAATTTAAAATAAATTTAAGTAAACAAAATTTGCAAATAGGTATATATTAACAATAATAAAAAAAAGAAAAATCATAAATAAGATAAAATGAATTTTAACAATACTAATTATAAAATTAATAATATCATTTCCTTTTTTTTTTTTTTAATTTTTTTACTTTTTTTTTTTTGATTTTTTTTTTTGATTTTTTTTTTTTTTTGGTCACTCTATATTATTACTTTTTTTTGTTTGTTTCTTGATTTATTTGTTTATATTATCAAGGTGTCACCTTAATGTAGGGTTACTAGACGTCCGAATTTTATGAAGAACGCTATTAAAAAAATTGTTTTTGCAGGTTTGGCGCTGTATTTTCCTCCATAAAACACGGACGTGGAACCCTACTCCAATTACAAGTTTTTAACTATGCCAGTGACATCGAACCTAATTTTGTAAAATTATAAATAATTCTGTAATTTTTTCAATTTTATGATTAAATAAATGGATTTAAAAAAACAACAGTAAAAACATTTAAAAAAAAAACTTAGAAATTTATCTACTTTGCTTTTTATGAACATTTCAAACCACCAAAACCTATAAAATAAGCTTATTTTAAGTCGAGAAAACTGTTATTTTGCATTAATCATATTTACTCCTAGTCAAAAAATATGCTTGTAATTACCGAGTTGTGCAAAATAACGCTATAAACCTGATGTCGCGGGTGAGAATTGGACAGAAGGTGATCTTGACATAATTAAGCTCACCGATATAAAATATAAAAGTTTTTTCAAGAATCCATTGTATTTGCCTTATTTTTTATTTATTTATATTTTGTTCCGTTGTAAATTGTTACATGACTTAACAATCTGATTTTTGTAAAAAAAGTATCTGAATGTATTCCTGCAAATAAGTTTTGTTAGTTTAAGTTTCTGTTATTGTAACTGTGTTGTTGTAACTGCGGACCTTTTTTTGATGTATTTTGATGCTGATTTCTAATCCAATTTATTTTATAATGGCCATAATTAATTTTATAATAGTGAATAAAATCTCTATGTAGTCCATGTTCTTCGAGTGTTGTTAATTTCATAATATCTAACCTTGCTTCATAACAAAAAGATATACCTACAATTAAAGTTTTTTAATTGAAGGTATAGTTTGGTTGCCCTTATTTAGATCTTCTCAGTTTTGACTATGTTTTATTATAGTAATGGAGACCATGACTGACTTTTTACTGTGTTTACATTTTGGTTTTTAACTGTTCTTTTTATGATATTGAACATTGTGTTTGGTTTACTAGTAACAGAGTCAAACTTTGAATACCATTTTAGATTGGATTGATCCATAATTTTCAAGTCATGTTCAGCGTCAGAATGTATAATTATAATTGCAATCGATATAAGAAATTAAAAATGTGGCATTTAGTTGTTGTTTTTTTCTATATGCATGACCTTGCATTTTTTATAATTTAATTTTGTAAGCCAAATAGATACCAATGAGTTAATATTATTTATACTATTTGGCAAGGCTTATTGAATCATTAGGCTTTTTTATAATGTTTACTATTTTACTGTCATTAGCATAAAGTTTAATAGAGTTTTTGGCTTGATCTAGCAGATTGTTAATGAAAAAAAAACAAATTTAAATAATTTAAACATTTAATTTTTTTTTCAAAATTTTACGATTATGTTAGCAAACTTCGAGATACTTTGTTTCACCCTAACTATCAATATTCAATTTAGTATTGGCTTCCTACAGTTACATCTAAGGTTATTTAGGCATATTACTTTGGTCATACTGTTTTACTTCTAGGACGACTTTTTTTAATATTTTATATCCTTGTTAAGGTGTAATAAATTTATTTAAAATTTAGGGTATAACATATTTAAATGTATTATACCCTAAATGTTTGAATAAAGGGCTGGAGATGTTTATTTAAAATTTCTTTTTTTATAAATGAGTATGGTGCTAATTTGAGATTAATGGATGAAATTCTGCATTTATGTTATTCCCAATACCATATTTCAACTTATAAAAAAAACATCCATTATATGAAAAAAAAATATGATAAAAGAAATTTTTTTTTGCAAAACATTTACTGGAGAGTGGGTGCTTATTCATGACAGTAATTACCTTATTTTTGCTTGCTTCTTTGTTTTCAGAGCTTAAATTGCTATTTATATTTTATTTTAATTGGCTACTGATATACAATCAATAAAATATACAGTAATTAATTAAAATAGCAAGAAAAAATTAGAATGACAGTTGCTAGGTAATTTTCAAATGCATCAACTTAAATATTTTTAATTTTAATTTGGAAATATTTTGATTTATTATTTTTAATTTCGATTTGGGAAGTTTTCTATGCATTAGTATTTATATCTCTTTTAAAAAGAATATATTTCCAAGTTATGCTTCTATTTGATTAAGAATGAGGTTAATATTTTATTTATATATATATTTTTTTTAATCTTTACTTTTCTCAAGACTAGAAATTTAATGATCAAGACAAAGGATTTAATTATCAAAACAAAGAATTTTTGATTTAAAGATTAAGGACTTAAAAATCCATACATTTATAAAATAACACCCATTTGATAATATTTACAGAATGCAACTACATTGATCTTTAACAAATAACAGAAAATATTACATAGTCTTAAACTTTGTCATATAATTATAACTTTTTTTTTCCCTTTAGGATAGTTCTGTGTAAATTATACAAGCTTTTCCACATTGTTGTTTTAAGATTGGTTCGAGTCCAAATGACAACTTGACCAGCTGCCGAAAAGACTATTTCTGAAAAAGCTGATAATACATTTTCCTGAAAATGGATGTTAGCTTTGGATATTATTATTCTATACTCTTCCACCACTGTAACATATTATTTTTTTGCTACCGGTTGAGATAAAAGTTTCTTTTGGAGATAAAAAATATTTTTTCAGTTCTGCTTGAATGTCAGAAGATTTTGATCTGGAGCTATCCTGAGTTAGAGTAACCAGAGTTACTCTAACTCAGGATAGACAATCTCGTTATTGGTAGTAGAAGAAAATCTCGTTATTAATTGGTGCTGTCTCTAAAACTAAGGGTAAGTCAATTTCTTCAGCAGATGAGTCTAGATCATGTTCAATTCGCATATTTCAGTCATTTCGTATCTGTCAAGCTTCATGTTTCAGTCATTTCGTATTTGTCAAGCTTTGTTTTAAAGAGTTTGCTTAAAATCTATTTTTAATTTTTTTTTTCTTCTTGAATTCATATTTTCAAAGTTGAGGGGCCACTTCAGTCAAAAAGAATATTCTTTTCTTTTTTTTTTTAATTAGTTTTATAGCGGTTCCAAACCTCTCTGAAATCTTTAATTCCAAAATACGAACCAGAGAAATAGGTTCATATAGATGAAAAATGTAGTACAATTTATAATTCGAATTTAACTGAAAGTTAAATAAAATTTTGCAATTGTTACCAAATTTAATTGTAGGCCAAATTTCTATTACTCATTAGTCACTTGCAACAATTGAAATATTTTGATAATGTTATCTGAGTCTTCACAGTTGACATGTGTCCTATCATAGCAGTTGACATGTGATCTATCACATGTGACCTATCACATGTGACCTATCACATGTGACCTATCACATGTGACCTATCAAATGTGACTTATCACATGTGACTTATCACAGTAACAGTATTCATTTTGATTGCTTCACCCTTTCATATCATTACAAACTAGTTCTAAAATTACCATAACAGTAGCGTACTATTTGAGCAGGTTTTGCAGATCACCATACTTGTATATTTCACATTTCACTTTCTATTTCACTGTAATAGTAGACACAATATCAATTTACAGTAATAGTAAACACATTGTCTGTGTCTACTTTTACTGTAAAAAAGAAAGTGAAATGTGAAACATACAAGAATCTCCATACTTGCATATTTCACATTCTACTTTCTATTTAACAGTAATAGTAGACACAATATCAATGTACAGTAATAGTAAACACAGTGTCTGCAAAGTCTGCTCAAATATTTATTACCAATTAAAAGCGAGTGTAACTCTAATAAATAAGTTATATAAAGTAATTTTGTCCAACGATTTTAACAAGAACATGTTGAAATTGTTCGAATTCAATTTTTAATAGCTTTACACAAACTTCCACAGAAATTATCCAGTTTTCAAAATTAATTTTTTTTTTAAAGTGACCGCAACAAAATTAAGAAAAAAACTTTTGAAAATTAAAAAACGTTTCGTGAAAACGAGACTTAGCTTGTTAACATGAAATATTAAAATGTAAAATATAAAAATAAACAAAATATATATTTTAATAAGTATATAAAATATGTATTTTAATAAGTATATAAAATATGTATTTTAATAAGTATATAAAATATGTATTTTAATAAGTATATAAAACATATATAAAACTATTCAAAAAACAATAATATACTCTTTTAAAAAAAAAGCTTCAATATATAAACAAAAAATAACTTTATCTTATCATACTTAATCTTAAAATAATATAATATAGATTGTAAAAGCTTCGCTTAAAAAAATCTTCTCCGTTCGATATATCTATAAAAAGCTCAATCTGACAAATATCTAAGAAATAATAGCTTTTCAAAAACATGTCCGTAAATAATGCACGACAACGGGTAAATTAGGTTAAAGTATTAAATAAATACTGATGAGCACTTTATATAGGCCATCCGGCGTTTTGCATTCTCTTCCGTAGATACTTTAATTTAGTTTTTGTTTTTGTTATTGGTTAACTTTCTTATAATAGGTTTTTATTGTTATTTATTTTATTTTTAATTTTGCTTACATTTAATACAAACCAAAAGATTCTTTTCTTCAAGTGTGAGACAACGAGTAAGATGATAAACAAATCTTTATTCCAATCTAGAGTCATGTGATAGCCAATGTCTTTGGTTAGTCGCAGCCACAATTGTTTAATTAGATAATTAGATTGGTTAATTAGATAATTGTTATAGTTTTGGTAAGCTTAAAATATTTTTTCTTTTTAATTTGTTCAGCAATCTATTTAACAAATTTATTGTGACTTTATGTTAACTTTATTGTGACTTTATGTTAACTTAATGTCATTAAGTCACAATAAAATTGTGACTTAATGACTGTGTCTTAGTTCGTCTATTTTGTTCTATTTCGCCAAACAAGGTATTGGATTAATTTACCGCGCAAATCAAAATTAAGTTAAAGTTTTTTTTTCGGAAATAGATACTACTCTATTACTTGTCGGGGTCTACGTCTGTGGAACTCAATCCTGAATAATGACATAAAATCTATAGCCTCAATTAAAGCATTTGAAAAAACTGTGAAACAATATTTGTTAAATCTAACCAATAAAAATATTTTTTTGTATTTTTAAGTCGTATTTTTATGTATTTACTAATACGAATATGTATGTTTAACTCAAAAATATGTAATTTTATAATAAACTAATTTTATAATTATAGATTTTACGAACTTAATCATGTAAATAAAGTTAACTATTTTACTATCAAAGGGGCAAGATGATAAGATGTATTGTCTTCTGCTTGCTCCTGTCAGAATTTAAAAAATATATTTTATTTTATTTTTATTTTACAAGTACATTGTAAAATTTTCTTTTCTTTTTTGTTCATTGACGAAATATATATTGATTGATTGAAAAAAAAGTAATAAAAGAATTGAAGAAATTTTTTCTAAAATATATATTTTATTTAAAAAATTTTAATATACAATAGCTGCATAATTACCGCAAACTTGGGGCTGAAGTATAAACAAATTAGGCAGCTGCTACAAAAAAGCACCTTGGAAATACTGGTGTGGATACAGCATTTTTTGATGTTTGAGGTTTTCCAGGCATGGAGCAAACTCAAAACATTTATACATTTATACTTATGTCAATATTCTCAATAAAACATTTAACTGATTTTAAAATATTTAGTAAATACTTAATAAAATATTTGTTAAAATTGTTTATCCGGTTTATTATGTTTAAATTAAAAATATATTAATAACAGTAGTTGGCTGCGCCATTGCTACGTCATTGTCACAACTTTTAGTAAAGTTTTTTAACAAAACCATAACTTTTTTTTTTTTTAATATGTGATGCACAAGTCAAATCTAACAATATCGAGAAGTATGCGTTTAACGACACTAACATAACTGCAGCGTACTAACTACTTTTTCCCCCTCATATTTTGATCTGAGTAGGTCAAATATTAGAGAGTAAAAAAATGGTATTTAAAATGTTGTTATTTATAGATTACACTGAAGCAATCGAATTATTTATCGCATGCTATTGTGGGATTAATAATCAAACCAAATTATTTTATGATGTCATTAAACAGTACATATGTAAACATTATTCATTCATTTACCCTTTAAGTCAAAAGAAAAAAAAAATACAAATTTAATTAATATCTTATAAAACCAGGTTAGGTATTAAAAAACAATGAAATGAGACTTTTTTAATATTATTTATCTCCCAAAGACCGAGCGGCTTCTTTTTGCAGCCGAGGAGGCTACTTTTTTTTTTGCATTTTTATTGTGGTTACGTTACTATCTCAACTCTATAACTCAGAAACACGAACCTTGAAGAAGAAGGCCGCTGCGCAAAGAAACATATTAAGCGTGGTACTACTACAAAAAAAAAATCAAATAAAAAAGAAATGAGAAAAATCGACATTGTTAGGGGAAAGCGGGGCAACATGGCGAATGGAGCAAGATGGGTTTTCATATAACAACTCAACAAAAAATCTTAAAATTGGGTAAAAAACAAAACTGTATTTGTATCTTATATTTTAAAACACCAATTGGTTTTTTGAAATATTATTAACGCAATTTTTTACGCATAAGTTTACTTTTTGCGCTTAAAAATAAAATCCTCAATTTCGGTTTCTCATAATGGATGGTGTCCTTCAAGTTTAATTTCTTTAGAAGTAGTTTTTTGCAATTTATGGTTTTTTTTTGGTGACTTTAGTTAGTGGTTTTTAAAACTTTATAAAATTGAAGGTAAAAACTGCATAAAAGTCATCTTGCCCCGGCCACGTGACCAGATGACAAATTTATGAACTGTTTATTTTAATATTTATTTCAAGTTGTTATATTTGCAAACTGAAAATTCATGCAGGCATTAAAGCATTTGAATAACATAAACATACTGAGAAAGTATTATTGCTTCACGACTGATAGTTTTGCAATAACTCAGGGCTTTCAAAACGTTCTCCATGTTGCCCCGCTTTCCCCTACTACAATATTTTTTACAACTTTTTTTTTGCGTCACAAAGTTATTTTTTGTTTGGCCAATAGATATACTGTATTACTTTACTTTGAAAAAGTGTTCAGGGCTTTATTAACAAGTTCAATTTTTAGAACATGGGTTTATTTGAGAGAGGATTTAAAAAAAGGAAGTCAAATTAATTTTTAATAACATTTTGTACATTTATATTACAAGTTGTTTTAAATAAACTCCCTTTAAGCGGAAATAAGTAGGGAAACGTTTATTTAAGAGGTTGTGTAAAAGAAGAAAATAATTACTCAAAGTAATATGTTTATTCCAAATTTATTAGTTTAATCGGTCAAAATTTTTTTAAAACTTATATCAGTTTTAACACATAATCCAAACAACAACAATATATAAGTTTAATAAAAAAAGTTAACAATACGTAAATCCAAAAGAAAATTCAGTTTAAGGGTTTGTCAGAATTAAGTTAGTATTGCCCATTCAAAACTTGAAAATATTCTTATTCATAAAATTGACACTATTACTTGTTTAAAGTTATGAAGTTGACTATTAAAAAAAATTTTTAAATAAAATTTTTATTATGTTGTCATGACAACTATCGATACTTACAGATATCTGCAATACCTGTATAACAGTCTGAAAATGGTTCTTAATCTATAAATATTGTTGCTAAGTGTAACATCGGTAAGAAAGGCATGAACCTTGTTATTTTATTATTTTATTTTTAAATACTCTTCCGCTGTGATCTTTGACTAGATTGTTAGGTTTTTTTGGAGTACCTTAACAAGCTTAAAAAAATAAAAAGGCATTTGTTGTGGTCAAACCAACCTTTTTTTGCCGTTGCAACGGTTTTATCTTAAAACATACAGCGTTTTTTGTTTTACCATGTTGCATCTATTTATAAAAATGCCTGATTGCCAAAACTTTGTTTAAAACTGATAAATAGAAATTGAGTTAATTGTAGGTATGAGACAAAAACACAACAATAAAACGTTTAGAAAATATTATATTATTTATATAAAGATAAAAGTAAAACATTTAAAAACACCTTAACTGCAACAGTATTTAAGAATATTTTATATATTAATATATAAAAAAATTTTATATATATTAATATATAAAAAAATTTTATATATATTAATATATAAAAAAATTTTATATATAATAATATATAAAAATTTTTTATATATATTAATATATTAAAAAAATTTTATATATACTAATATATAAAATAATATGTATAAACTCTCTGCTAAATCTCTGTGGTCTGTATAACATGATTGTTGAAGCCATCTGATATGATGGCATATTGATTAATTTATGGTACTTTGAAATTAATTGGAAAAAAAAAAAATTAAGTTTTGACAAAGTTGCTAATTATTAATAAAAAAAATATAGTTATAATAAGTAAAAAAATATAAAAAAAACAAACTGTTAAATACGAGTAAATTAGACTGTTTTAACCTTGCTTTTACCCTCAAATCTATGAGCAGAAGTCAAATTGATATATGATTACCTTTTTGTTTATTTATCTTTAGACTTCATATTTAATAACTGTGTTTCTAACCCATTAAAAAAATATATTACTTTTTATATGTTTTTTAATCCATATTTTGGTAATAATTTTATAAAAAATTATTACTAAAATATGGATTGGGAGTTCCACTCTTTTCTAAATTTCTCTATTTTCCAGAAGGTTTTGGGAATACTAAACAACGCCCATAAAAATATAACAAATCACAGTAATTTGCTAACAGTTTTGTTTGTTACATCGAAGAGTGAAATGCTTTTGTATGTACCATTAGTTCTTCTAATGTGCTAAAATAAAAATTGTGCAAATATAAAATTTCTTAGTAATGGAGTAATGAAAAACTCACTTGTATAACAATAGCGACGACTTCTGAAGAGGAAGATAAGTAGAAGATAAGGTTTATAAACAATCCTTATCTTTACTAAACAGACAAATCTTATGCAATCGGTGCCACTCGCTAAAAATCTAAAATTTTTTATCTAAAGATAATACCATAATTTGGATGTTAGATCAGTTTTCTCAATCAGGGCGTGAAACTCGAGAGCGGATCCATAGGGAGGAGGGGTGATCCATAGATAGGGGCGATTGCCCCCTATCTGCCAATAATCCTTTTATCTTATTGCGCAAAAAATAAAATTCAGACTGGAGTAAAAATGTTGTGTACAAAAGAAAGACGAATTCTTCGAGAAATTCATCAAACAATTTGTAAATGCTTACATTTGCTCCTGAAAACATTCCCCTTATAATAAAAAAGCAGCAGCAATTACAACAGCTATTCAAGAACCATTAGTGAAAAATACTATCACATCTTTTCCTAAAAACAGCAAAAAAAAAAAAAAAAAAAAAGCAAAACAAGCACGCTGAAAATTCTTCTATTTATGCGCAACTGCAAACTTCGTGGAATTCCCCCCCCCCTTCCTTTCCTCATTTTACTCGTAGAACCGTCTCTGGTTATACTTGATAGGTGATACGGAATACCGATATTAGGAATGTTATCAATTTCTAATCTGAAGCTCGCTATTAATATTGACATGAAGGTTGTTATTGAACATGGTTTTGATTTGTCTTGATACCCGGGAAAAAAGTGAAATGGCAAAAAGTTCCAACATTATTTGATAGCAAAACTAACATCACATCCATTAAGTGCAAGAAATACATGTATAACATGTGACGTATTATTATCCCGACTACAAGAAGTATTGAATAACATTTTTCGCTTTTTTTTTAAATTTAAACTTAATTGACTTTATTGTAAATTACTTATAAAAAAATTGCATAAAGTTTAGTTGATAAATGTATAAATATTGTATTATCTTTGTTTTAATTTATATTTAGAAGAACATATTTATCTTTATAGTATTAATTCTTTCGTGTCGAAGCTCATCTTTGTTAAATGTGAGATACACAATTGAGAATATGGTGCACACACACACACACACACACACACACACACACACACACATATATGTATATATATATATATATATATATATATATATATATATATATATATATATATATATATATATATATATATATATATATATATATATATATATATATATGTATATATATATATATATATATATATATATATATATATATATATATATATATATATATATATATATAGCAATAAAAAATTCTTACTTTTTTTGTGTGCTTGACAACAGATAATGAATAAAAAAAAAGTATGAACTATCATTTCAACTTTTACGGTCCTTCATGAAGATGCTTCATGCGCAACCAGTTATCTAAAAAGCATATTTTTAGTTGTAAAAAAGTAGAGTAGTTAAAAAACGTTTTGTTTAATTAGTAGAGTTGATTAAATAAAGCCAAAAACACAGTATGTCCATAGGTTTGCAGACTCGTAGAGGTTTTCTTAGCTTAACGTTAAAACTTAACGTTAACGTTAACGTTATCGTTAACGTTAAAACTTAACGTTAACGTTAACGTTATCTCTAACGTTAAAACTTTTACTTTTAATTATTTTCAAGCAACTTCATATACTTAATAGAATTATTAGAAGTCAATGTACTCTATTATTATCATTACCAAAAAACAAAAGGAATTTATTGGCTTTAAAGAAAATGTATTTATCTAAACATTATTTAAATTATTGAGAATTAGTCAAATAGTAGCGGATTGAATGACAAAGTATAAAATGTACTTTTTAGGCATTGTTAATCAAAGCCGTAGATTTTCAATTTTAAGGGTGTAAATTACAAACGAGGTTTTTTACCTTAATACGGTGTAAACCCAAATCGGATCTAACTTCTTTTGGGATTACATTTTCTTTTGATAAAAAACAAAAAAGATTTAATTCACTTTTTTTTTTCTAAACATTTTGCGACGTTGGAATGTGCTGATGAAAGAACGCTTTATTTCAATAAACAACTTTTGTGACATTTCCTTTTAAAAGTCTGAATTAATGTTTTGTTTATTTTACCCAATTAAAATTATTTAATTACTTCTTAATAAAACTCTTACTAAACCCTTAACGAAAAAAATACGCAATGATAACTAATAACGATACAAACTTAGTTTTTGCAAAATAAACAATATGTCATAGAAAACATGCTATATTTTTAAAATTTTTCACATTACTTATAGATTAGTAAATGTTAAAAAAAATTTTATCATTATTAAATATTTGGTAAAATAATATTTAAAAAAAAAAAACTTTTGTCTTTATCTTTAGTACTTTTATATTCAACTTAGAAATTGTTATATACTATGCAAAAGTGATTAAGGATTAGCTATTTAGCTACTAATCAAAATAATATCAAACTGAATTATGCATAAACTTTATACTCAATTTTATTAAATATCAAATATTTTTATATTGATTGTATTAAATGTTATTATTTATATTTTTGTAGAGTCTTGTGCTTATTATCTCTTTATTTATGTGTTTAAATAAATAAAAGTAAGTAAAAAGTTGTTAAACCGTTTTTACATGTTTATAAACCTCAACAACGTATTTTAAAGTAACATTATTCATTTGGTTTTATCTCCTTTTTGTTTATTATAGTTTATATATATATATATATATATATATATATATATATATATATATATATATATATATATATATATATATATATATATATATATATATATATATATATATATATATATATATATATATATATATATATATATTTATACTGATCAAGTTAAAAATGCAAGCATATATGAAAAATATTAATAAATTTTCTTGGTTTTGCGCCTTGATTTTTGACGTGACGGCATTTGGCAATCAATAGCCATAGCATGCAACATTTTTTTCCTCTTGAATAATTTCTTACGCCATATAATTTTTTTTTTAAATTTTAAATAAAAAAATTGTCTTCCACAAATAAAAAGACTTGTTTTTTTACCTTTACTATTCAAACACCATAAATCTTCAAAAAATAATCGAAATTTTAATGATCAAAAGTAAGTTGTAAATTATAATTAAAATTTAATGGTCGTTCGCCATAATTGAACACATTTTGAGCATTCGTTAGCTGCGCCGACTTCGTCCAGGTGAATAGGGTCTAATTAGGTTTGCTTGTTCAGCGATTGTTCGAGTTCACGCTGTGAAGATTATGCCTAAAGTGAGAGGTTTGTTAAAAAGTCTATTATTTAATTAGATGTGAGATAAAGTTTTAGTTTTCAGTATTTATGAAATTTTTGATTTTAGCTTGATTTACTTTACTTTTAGTAACTTAAACTGACGATGTCATTTAAACTGATGATGTCGTGACTTCTTTGTTAAATGTGAAACATCAGATATTTAGAAGTTTAACGTGGTATTATAAGAAACAGTTGACAGAAAAATAGAAATGGCTGATAACCAATAGTAGTTAAAAGATGCAAACAACAATATGTTAATGTAATGGAACAAAGTGCTACACAAACTTTAAATAAGAATTAAAAAAAAACTTAATTGCTTCCAAAAACAAATTACAAGTAAGTATAAGCGCAAAAATATATGAAATATATGAAGTGTAAGACTTAGACTGTTATTTTAGGATTATTTGTTATTTGAATGTTATTTGAAAAACGTAAGCATACGTTAGAGTCAATCGAACATATAAAGTCCATTTAAAAAATAAAAAAGTCCATTTAAAAGTTATAAAGTCCGTTTAAAATAAAAAATCTTATTGATATATCTATTTTGCTCAGAAATAAATAAATAAATATCTATTTTGTTCAGAAATAATTATCTATTTTGTTCTCTTTTGTATTGACACTGTTATATTAGTAACAAAAAAATTGGAAAAAAATCTTTTAACAGTAAAAAAAGTTTTGTTAAAATACAACTTTTTTTGATTATGTTTGTATAGAATTACACGACAGAAAAGAAAAATATTGAGATTTAATCATATTGGGTACATTCCATGATTACCAATTGGCAATAAAGGTATTTACTCACATACAATATGGGTTGCAAGTCGCCAGTTAGATTAAACTAAACTATGAAACTGAAAAAAAGATTCCAGGAAAATTGAACGTTACTTTCTCAAATGGGCTGTCTGTGTGTGATATATCAAACAGACTTTTAATTAAAAGTCAAGTTTAAATTTAAAAAATGTAGATTTCTGTTTTTCAATTCTTTCTTGTCTTCTGGTTTCAAGAACTTTCTTTAATTACTCATATTCAGTTACCAAAGAAAGAATCAGATCCACACAGCTCTTTGTGCAAAACCTAGTTGGAATACAAACAGTGAACAAAAAGTTTTCAATAATATGGTCAATAAGATGATTTACAATCAACCTTTGGGTCTTTTTTTGGATGTTTTCAAAAAGATATTTTTCCGGTATAAATCTATTCAACGGTAGTTTTTCTCCTTTAAAGTTATCTAAAAAAGACCAACAGTTCAACGATTTAAACGAGAAGAATGTCCGCTTCTTTTAGCAGCAATATTCTTGTTTATAGCAATAACTGGAATATATATTGGATCCAATGAATATAAATTGGATCCAATGAAGTTTTTTCCTAATCTTAACTATTAGCGTATTTTTATAACAAATGTATTATTGGTTTAAATATATTATTAGAAATTAATACACGCGCATACGTGCATGTGTACAAGTTTAGAATTGAGCGCTGTTGAGCAGACATCTGAAGACTCAAAAATCGTGTTCTTTAGATTCACAATTAGGATTTTTAAAAAAGTTTTTAAAATTATATTAAAAGGAGAAAAGTTTTTTTAAACATAAAAATTTGTAGCAAAAACATTTATAGCATCTAAAACTCTTGTTTAGACATGATACGCTGACAAAATCATGCTGATTCTAAATAAAAGAACTCGAATAATTTACACCGAGTGTATAAACTACACCGAGTGTCTTCATAAAAAATATAATTTAAAAGTTGTTAATAGGGAAATGGAGGTTAATGATATTAATTATACAATAATACTTTTTTATTGATTCATCCAAATCAGCAGCGTAGCGATAAAAAAGCCCCTCCCCCCTCCTTGCCCAGCAAAACTTTCCGAGCCCCTTAAATTTATTTTCTCCTACTTTAGATAAAAATTATACATTAAAACAATAACCTTTTTCTTAAACATAATGTTAATTTAATAACATAGAAACGAGTACGTTACAGAATGTTAGTCTAGCATGTCAAAAATCTAATGAAAAACTCAGGAAAGAATTGGAAATTGTATCTCGGCCAAGTTAATTAAGTTTTGTACTCGGAAAAATGTCTTGAAACATTTTTGTGTTCTGAAAAAATGGGCATGGTTCTCACTAATCTCTGCTCAGCTCTCAAATAATAGTATGTAAAAACCAATCAACTCTTGAACGTAGAAATGTTGTGAAAGTCTAGAAGTTTATTACCATTTTGTTAATACCAAAAACAGTGGTACGCATATTAATTTTTTTATTATCAAAAATACACTTTAATTTTATCTTAGTTTCATTCCAAATAATAAAATATTAAATAAGGGGTGCTCATTTTTGTACCTGCAAATTTTATTATGTGTGACAATTTTTACTGCTAACTTGTGCTCATTATGTGCCATTGTGCCTCATTCGTGTTTGATATAGACATACTACACTAAAAATCTGTAATTTCGATGCTCAAATCTGCACTTTACAATAACTGTTGTAACTGAAATTTCAAAAATAACTTGTTGTTTTTGAGTAAATGAAAGTTTTGTCAAACTTTGTGCCTGTTGTGCATTCTAGTTAGTGTTAAATTTTACCAGTGTACTTTGACGTAACAATGGGCAGTTATGATGGAGCAGAAGTTTGTGAATTTGTTAGACTATATATTTTAGATTTATTAAGTAAAATAATTAATATAAATGAGATAGGCCTTTATCGCAACAATGGTTTAATAGTAATGTGTAAAAAATCTGGTCTACAGCTCGATAAAATTAGAAAAGGTATTACAAAAATTTTTAAAAATATTGGTCTTTAAGTCGAAATAAACATAAATTTATAAAATTGTGAACTTTCTTGACGTTACATTTAACCTTCCTAAACCAAAAACCAAACGATGAATTATTGTATATTAATATTAACTCAAATCATTCACCCCAAATTCTAAAACAAATTCCGATTTCAATTAATAACAGGCTAAACCTAAGGAAAATGATTTCAATTCCTCTAAACAAATATTTCAAGATGCCTTTAAAAAATGTGGTTTTGAAAATTTTGAACTAAAATTTGACCCTGAAAAAAGAATACAAAAAAGCGAAATAGGTCTAGAAATATAATTTGGTTTTTAAAATAGTCGATAAGCATTTCCCGCCCTCTAATAAATTACATAAAATTTTTAATCGAAATACAATTAAAAGCTACATTTGCACAAAAAATATGGAAAGAATTATAAAAGGTCACAATAATGCTTTGTTAAACAAAAAATAAATCCAAAATGAAAAAACTACAGAAAATTGTAATTGTAAACAAAAAACAATTGTCTGAATGGAAGTTGTTTATCCAAAAATGTGGTATATAAATGTGTTGTTTCCTCTAAGAATGTACCCGATAAACAATATATTGGCATAACAGAGGGTGAATGGAAAAAACGTTTTGCTAATCATAAGCAATTATTTGAAAATAAAAAGTATTCAAAAGACACCATACTGTCAAAATATATATGGGAATTAAAAGATAAAAATAGTGATGATTTTATAATGAATTGGTCCATCCTTAAAACAACACCAGCATATAACAATATTTCCAAAAAATGCATACTATGCCTACAAGAAAAATTTGAAATTATTACACATGCAAACCAAGAATGTTTAATAAAAAAAAAATCGGAATTAATTTCTAAATGCAAGCACAAAAATAAGTTTCTCCTAAAAAACTATAAAAATAAGTGAGCTAAAATAATGATCCCCTCTTTTAAAAAATATTGAAAAAAAAAAATTGTTGGTATAAATTGAAGTTTTATTAGTTTGATCATTCATTTCTGATGAGTCTTTATTGATTAAACACAGTGTTAAATGAATTTTTTTTTAAACTATGACCATAAAAAGTTTGAACCCCTCTCAGTTTGAGGGGGCTGCAAATTTTATAAGGCCATAGTTATTGAACGCTAAGAGATTAATGTGTGAATTTTAAAATTTATCGATGAATATATACTTTAGTACTAAAAAATCAAAAAACTATATCTCAGTAGCAGTATCAGAAAAAAATTAAAAATAGTTCATATTCATCCCGTTTTATAGTATATTGTACTTTAAATTTTATATCTGATTATATCAGTGAATCATCAACTTATATCATCATATGTTATTGTGGATACAGATAAAATGCGGAAATGGGGAGATTTTTAATTGGTAATAAAATATATATTATTACATAATAATATTACAAAGTCCTATTGTTGATAAATTTACATACATGCATATTATAATATTTTTTCACCGTGAATACTTTTTAAAAATTTTGTTTTTTAAAAGCTTTTTGGCTTGGACCCTATTGGACTTTGGACTCTCTCGTGGCTGCGGACTAATCCTAATACACTTTCTTTTTTATATCAGTTCATATTAATATACATATGGTTATAAAATTTCGACTTGTTCACTAATGTATTCAAAGGAAGAAAATGTTTGAAATTTTTGACCCCTCTGATTCAAATACTAGCTTAGAGTTATAGTGAAGTTTATAAAAATTCCTATGAAGTTTCACATATTTAACATGTTATAAAGTTTATTGACATAAAAGTTGTAGTCTTTGGTATAATAAATAATTTTTAGATTTGATAAAAATAATTTATAATATATATTATAAATAAAAGCATTTAATTTTTTGTTGTTATTTCAAGAAATTTTGTAGATAGAAACTTTACATCATAAATTTTAAACTTGTTCAAGGGTATGATTGAAGTGTTTTTTCAAAAATAGCTTTAAAAAACTCCCAAACCTTTAACAGAGTTAAAGGTTTGGGATGTGGGTGGATCCAGTCATCCGGTAAAGAGGAGTTTGGGCAATTTTACGTTGTTTTTTTTTAATTAAGTAGATCCTGACCATCTAGTAATTTAGTAGATCCTGACCATCTAGTAATTAAGTAGATCCTGACCATCTAGTAATTTAGTAGATCCTGACCATCTAGTAATTAAGTAGATCCTGACCGTCTAGTAGTTTAGTAGATCCTAACCATCTAGTAAGAGAGAGATTTTAAATTATAGGATTTGTGGAAAGGTAAGGGCGCAAAGGTGGAAAGGTAAGGGCGCAAATTTTTATTTGATTTCATATCATTTTTAAACAGTCTGCCTATTAGTCCTAATTTACTTTCTTCTTTCTTAAACAGCATAGTGAGTTAAATATATATAGAAATAAAGAAATTTGTTTTAATAAACTCTTAGGCGATTGCCCCCATTCCCCCTCTTTCCTTCCTATGGGTTGCGGTAAAGCTAATTTCTTCATTCTACATAATCACTTACTTAAAGAAACTTTCATTATGGAATGACAAAAATGTTATAATAATAATAATAAAAATATTTTCTGGTAATGTGTTTTATTAACCTAAAACATTTACCTATGCACTATGAATCATTATTTAAATCGAGTCTTTAAAAAAAATTACAATCAGTTGTTTCAGAATGCGGCACAATGGTTTCTCAAAAACATGAAGTCGATAGCAGGATATTACGGGTGAAGTTGACAGCAGGATATCCCGGGATAATGCTTTTCTATCCCGAAATATATCTTTTATTTATATTATATCAGATATTATTATTATTAATAACAGGAAGTTTTTTTTTAAATAAGTATTACTTTTTTTTTAAATTAAGAGAAAAAAACAAAATGTTTTTTTTCTCTTTCTTAAAGAACAACTGAAAAAATAACAACATTCCTTGACTTTAAACAAAACCGTATGTTTTGGATGGTCTTTATAATAAATTGATTTATAAATTATACATTTTTTAAAATTTAATTAATGTTTTTGACGCACAAATTCATACGTCACGTATACAAAAGCCTGATTTAGCTCATAAAGAATCGTTATTGCAATATAAATTCTTAATACGATAAGAATATAAAAGCATAACTTGAAAATACATATAAAGATTACGTTATTACAAAATAACGACATCTTTTCCGTTATTATAAATTATTATAAATGGAAAAGAAAGAAAAGACTTATAAAAGGTTATGCAGTCTCGCCACCGAGAACTGCAATAAAAAAACATTTTATAATTGCTCTTAATAAAATATATAAGAAAGAACTTTCATTAATATATTTATTTTTGCCTTTAAACTAATACAAATTATAAAAAACAAGGAAAAAGTTGATTTAATTCCTTTTAGAGGTTTAAGTTTACTCTTATTAAAACTACCCATGCATCATTTATGCAAGAATGAATGAAAGAGAAAACCAATTCTTGCTTTCTACAATATTCTTACATTTCTTGAAATTTTACTGCATAAATTTATGTGCATTTTCTAAAATTTCTATTTCCATTAATATTTATTGCATTAATACAATCAATACTATCAATAACAACTAACGATAATAATATAAATATAAATATAAATACTATCAATAACAACTAACGGCAATAATATTAATATGTATTTGTTT